GAGCAGGGGCAGAGTAGGCAGGTTCAGGTCTTTGTCCTTTCTGTCCCACTCCATGTCTGGGCCTCAGATGCTGAAGTGGGGCCAACACATCTGCTTCCTTGAGCCTGAGCTTGCACTGTAGCTGGCCAGCATCCTCAGCTGAACCAGAGCCACTTGTGGCTCAAGGTCAGACAGACCCAAGGACAAGACCTCTCAAACTCTCACCAAGGCAATCCTAATGATAGAAGTGAATTAACAGGCCCCTCGGTGTACATTCTTAGCCCAAAGTGACAATCCAAAATGACTTAAGCAAATCTTAAATTCAGGCAAATTTTGCATTTTATGTTACTACTGTGGCTGTTTGGTTTTTATATAAAAATAAATATTTAAATGACCTACCACTGGATGGGAGACCACCTAGGAATACCAGGTGCTGTAGGCTTTAATATAAATAAAATGAATGAATGAATGAATGAATGAATGAATGACCTACCACTGGAGGCCAGTATATGGCCCCATAATTAACCTGTAGCTTTGTGTTCCGCTAGTATTGCTAAGTCGAGAAGCTTCTGAGAAGCCTAGATCCAAGGTGTGAGTGCGAGAATTGCACGATTTCTTATTTCCACTCCACCTTGGCCTGAAATAGAATCAGAATAGAAAGTCATGGCCTGGGGAAGTAGACATAAAGCCTAGGGTCGTCAAGCAGGGTAAGGATTAAAATTTTTCGGATACAATGAGGAGATAGATTGTGCCCTGGACAATTAAATCAACTTAGGAGGTGCTCCGTGACCTGTTGTGATCCCATGGGGCCAGTAAATCTGCTTTCTCCACAAAAATGGCACTCCATGAGGAAGCCCTATCCTTCTCAGCCCTGTATTTGCTTCTAGCTGCTGCTGTGTCCTTTCTCCCACCCAATGCCCCTGGGAGCCCACCCGAAATAAATGGAAACTTTCCTAAGGTTGTGTTCAAGCTCCCCTACGAGTGGCGGTGTGTCTCTAAAAAAGAAAAAATAAAGGCCACACATTGAAACTTACTTCCTGCCAGGTACAATGTTAAGGGCTTTACACACTGTAGCCCATTTATGCTTTGGGGATCACATCTCCGTTTTACAAACAAGGCAAGAGAGTTTCAAGAGTTCAAATAACTTGCCTTCAGCCTCATGGGAAGTGGTAGGGCCAGGATTTAAATCCAGATCTGATTCTGAACCCTGGCTCATAACCACCATGTTTTCTGTCCAGGCAAAGAGGGAGAGAAAGCAATTAAGAAGGTCCCCAAAATGCAGAGCCCATAGGGAGGAGGACTACTGGGTTCTGGGAGGGAACAGGAGCCCACAAGTAATAGAAAGTCATAGTGGGGGATGCTGGATCCTAGGGCTAAAAACAGGAGACCTTTCAGAGCTTCCCTCTCTTCCTCCTCTCTGCCCTCCAGGCATCTAAACTACAACTCTGACAAGGTTGCTGCCCTACTTAAAGACTCTTCAGTGCCTTCCCATCCAGCACAGGGCTCAATCTAAACTCCTCACCCAGCAGTCAAGGCCTTTGTGACCTCACCTCAACCAACTTCTTGACCTCCTCTCAGCCCCTGGAACACCTGTCTGGTTCCTGGACTCCCTTTCAAGCATCTGTAATTGCTACCAACTTCTCTCATTTACAAATTCTCCTCTTCCACAACATCTCCCACCCTGCCACCCTAAGTCTTCTTTCAAGGCTCCTTCTTAGAAAGTTGCCTCCACTATCTCTTCTCACTAGTTGGTCCACTTCCTCTGCTTTCCCCCAGAACCTTGACTTGGCTGTGTGTTTTGCGTCTGGTCTCCTGCTTTGGACTGTGAGCACCATTCCAAACACGTCCACAGCTGCCCAGCTCGTCAGCATCTGCCCAGCTAGGGACTCCCGGTCTCCACATTTTGCACTTCAATAAGACAAATTACTCAGCCTCTCTCAGCCTCAGCTGTCTCATCTGTAAAAGGGGAGTAACATTGTACATCAGAGAATTGTAAGGATGAAATTGAGGATGCAGGCAAAGCTCAAAGTTCATCTGGCACGTGGGGTATGCTCAATAAATGTTAGCTCTTGATGATGAATAACACTGATAACGAATGTTTTAGAATAAATACACACGTGATTCTGCTCTCAACCCCCGGCATCGCCCAGTCTTGAGAGGAGAGGAGAGCAATAGTCTTAGGGTGTGGAGGTCATTCATTGGCAGGAGATAGCTTTGTTCCGAGCTGGTCTGGTCCAAGAGTGAAGAAAAAGTCCCTTTCTCTCAAACCTCCAGGTTAGAGTTAAAAATATCGCAGGGAGAGTCCGGAGGCAGGTGAAGATCGCAGCTAGGTTTTAAAGAAGAACTAAACTTGTCAAGGGCCGTCCAAGTGAAGGTGTCAGGCTCAGGGACCCAGCGGAATGCCAGCCGAGCACCCCCCCCACCCCCGCCCCGCCCCGCGCTCCCTCCTCCT